AATTTAATCATCTAATTATCTATCATACATGTGAGTATGATTATAAAGTCTGTCATACACAACTACTTTTGTACTTCTGACTATACTCCTTTAGGTAGTACTCCTTTCTTCGTTTCGAACCTGTCGTCTATAGTATGAAGATTCTGGTTGTCATTTGTGGAAACTTCAGGTTTTGGCAGCGATTTTAAGCTTCACTGTTTGGTTTGCTGAAATGAGTATATTGGTTCGGTATCATTGTTGGAGTCTTCAGTGTTATAAATTAGTGGTTTTTCTTTCTTTGTTCACTTCTTTTTTTTTTCTCAAATTAATTCTTTCATTTTCTAGATTTAGCTTCGCTGAAACAGATATGTCGCTTGGTATCTTTGTTGGGGCTTTTGTCGCTTGTCTTGATGTTATAAGATAAGTAGTTTTTTTTTCTTGGTTTTTTTTTTTTTTGTTTGCTTCTTTTTTCTCGAACTAATCTTTTTCTAGCTTCATTAGAACAACTAGTAGGTTGCTTCGGTTCAAAACTTTCTCTGGTGGATTGCAGAAGTTTTTATCGTCGCTTCGATGTCGCTCTTGTTGTTTATTTTACCACTTTGGTGCCATTATTGAGACCTCTGTTGGTGCGTCTTGTGCTTTCTTCATTTAAGCCTTCGCTTTGTTGTTACTGGAGCTTGTTATAAACGTCATTTGTAGGTGGCCTTGGATGCTACAGTGTATTGAAAACGTTTATCACGTGACGATTTAATATTAGCGATTATAGTCGTAGTTGTTGTAGTTGGTTTGTGGTTAGAGTTAGTAGTTGAATTTTTTTTTTTCTTTGTAATTGATCGTGCTAAAAATAATAAAAAATTGTTATTATGAAATCATAATTATGTAAAAAAGTTAAAATTGATTTTGCAAAATAAATTGATCGGGCATATAATAAAGATGCATCATGATGCAGATGCATTATTTTGTAAATTTGCACAAATTTTCGTAGACTTACATAGGTTTGTGTAATTTTGCCTCCGCAAGTTTGCATATTTTTTCGTAGGTTTGTAATTTTGCCTCCGTAGTATTACGTAATTACTATAACGTAAATTTTCGTAAATCTTACCCTTACGTAATATTCCGTACTAATCGAAAGTTTTCGAAAGATTTACGATGTGTAATTATTTACGGAGGTTTACACATATTTTTTTTTGGTGATGTTCAAATAGGTCAAATCCCACCAAACATGAAAATCCGAAAACAAAATAAGTATTAATTTTTTTTTTTTTTTTTTTTTTGTTTTTATATAAACTTGCTAATTATTCGACAATTTAGCAGTACGTAGCATTTATTTTCAGCATAACAAACTAGCACCTATTGCAGAGATCTTGAATTACATTATAGTATTAGTATTAAAACAAATCTATTAATTAGTTTGCAGTAGAATTTTATTTATTTGCATTATTGTATTAGTATCAATAAAATGAAACCATTTCATGTCAATTATTTTTTAAAAACGCAGCACAGAATATAGTTAAGGAATTTTGAAATAGCGTTGGGTATATTTTAAAATTACAAGCATGTAACTGTAATTTTCAGCAAAATTTTCTCTCGTGAATAAAGCACCGAACAGAAACTTATAAAAATTTTCTTGGTTGTGCCCAGAAGCACTGCACTTATTTTAATGTTTAGATTATTTCGATTTTTTCTAACTTTCGTTTTGACAAAATATTTTGAATTTTTTTTTTTTTGAAAATCGAATTTGTGGCTGTGCTAAGTGGCGTGATCCAATTAAAGACGGGATTTCGGGCGTCCAATCGCAACTGGGGGGGGGGAATTAGGGCTCCCGCCCATGTCCATAATGTTCATGAGTTTTATGTCATAGTATAAATTATTAAAAATATAAGAATTTAGTGATAAAAACATTTTATTTAATGCTTGAAATCTGTCCGTTGTCACCAAACATGATAATCTCTATAATCGTAAACAATATAATGTAGTGACTTGGATCTCACTAATTAACGCGTCCTATTCATTCTTCATTTTAGATTCTCTTCATACACGTACCTCTCTTTGCGAATTTTCGAAATAACTTCGAACTAGAATTCAAGGCACAGCTCTATCAAGTTATTAGATATCACTACTTTTTAGTGTCACTATATCTATGTTTAAAGGTTACACGTATAGCTATATTCTTACCGTATCATCTTAACATTTCTATATACTAAAATTTAATCTTTTTGCATTTTACATCATATATCACCACGCGTCTGTGCTTCTCTTCACGTCGAAACTCTACGTTACAATTATTATATTTATTGTTGATATGGATTTTGTTAGGTGGAAGAATTCACTAATTTTTATTTGGCAGTACAGTCGACTCTGGTATTGAGTAAGTTCGTTATATAATTTACTCTCCCTATGCCGAACTGTTCGGTATATAAAGCTAACCAATAAAAATCACTCACAAAACCAAATTGCCTTCGACATCTTTGTGTTCATTCGGAATATTTCTGATCTCATTATTTCGTAGACATGCATATCTGCGAAATTATATAATAGTTCACTATATCAAAATATGTATACATGTTAAAAAAGAGTTCGGATGCGGTATATAAAGATTTATTATTTAGGTTCGGTAATTTATTATAAAAAATCTGGCCTGCTAAATCGTTATAGAGCGATTTTGGTATAAGCAAGTTCGGTATATCTAGAGTTGACTGTACTCAAATAAACATGACATATCGATACTCAATATATTAATGTAACATTGCAATAAAAAATTAATATTGTAATTGGTGACTGAAATAATATAAATATGAATATAAATTATTAACACTTTTTTAAAGCAAATTTATTTAAAGAATTAAAAAAAATTCTTAATACATTTGTAATAATTATTAATATTGTTTTTCTTTAGTAACATTTCAAATCTAATGCATGATGCGTATTAATGAGAATTTTAAATACAGAAAATTTTTTTCAATTAATGTTTTGTTTTTTTCTTAAATGTCCTTTTTTTTTTTTAGAAAAATTTTTTTTTCTTCAAGATTCATAAACTATAACGATGATATAAGTTTTAAAAGTTCAATTCAAATCAATAATTTGACAATGACGATGACGTTTTTTTGTTTAAGATATGGAAAAAAATATTTAATATCCAGCGGCAATTCCATTCTTTCTGAAATCACTTGCAGCTACACGTAATAAAGAATTAGTTATGAATAAAAATTAGATGTGATTAAATAACATTCTAATATAAATATATATATATATATATACGTACCATGAATAGTTCCATTAGTGAACTTTCTCACACACTGAACTTGACATCCATAACCTCTATTATAGATGCTGTGTATTTTAACCTATTAAAAAAAATAAAGATTGAATTTTGAGGTGTTAATATTAATTTATCATTAGACATTCAAAGTAAAAAGAATGGAAGTTATACTTACAACATGTCCAATTTTAATAAGTTTTTCTAATATCTCATATGGAAATCCTGATTCGACGAATAACTATAAATTCGTAATAAAACAATTAATTATCATTATTTCATATTGAAAAAAAGTTCTACGTACGTATAGAAGTTATATTTACCTCATTTGGCAATAATGGATGGTATAATCTTGGATAGTCAATAGCTTCCAAAACGTTCATATCAAACTCATAAATATTTAATAATGTCTATGTATAAATGATCAAAATTTTATTATTGTTAATATTACTAATTCAGTAAAGGGTTAAACAAAACCGAGTTTTTGATAAGTACCTGCGTAACAGCCGACATAATTCTGGTACCACCACTAGCACCAACCGCCATTTCAAACCTTCCATCAGGTCTTTCAATTATTGTAGGACATGTTGATGACATTGGTTTTTTACCTGGAGCAGGAAAATTATGAGGAGCAGGCCAAAATCTTTCAATTGATGGTGGTATAGGAATTGAGAAATCATCCATTTGATCATTAAATAAGATTCCAGTATTTGAATCCATAACTTGAGAACCCCAAAAATGATTAAGTGTGGCAGTCATACTAACAGCCATCTCATCAGCATCTACAACAGAAATATGAGTTGTACCATGATCTTCAAGTGTAGCATACTCTGGATCATAATGACTTGGTATCCATGTACGAGATTCAGAAAGATTAGCACGAATTCTTTCAGCATATTCTTTGGAAATAATTTCTTTTATACGTTCTTTATGAGCTGTGGTATTTTTAAAAAATGCAGGGTCTCCTAATTCAGTACGCCTAGCAATGGCATATTTGAATGCTTCAGCCATTCTTTGCATATTTAATACTGTACGGCCGTTTTCGTGGAATTTGTATTCTTCCAAAACATTTAACAAAAATAATAATATTGTTCCACTACCAGGTTCAGGAGATGTTATGACCTATTTTCAAAAAATATATATATAATTAACTAATTCGAAAAAATGAGACGTGGAAAAACTTGTCATATCGATACCTTTTTTCCTTGGAAATATCCTATAAGAGGTTCACGAACAGTAGGTCTGTAGGCAGCCAAATCTTCCATAGTTATTATACCACCTCTACCTTGGATAGTATCGACAGTTGATCTTGCAATTGAACCCTTTAATTACAAATTATAAATTATTTTAAATTATAAATTATAAATTATAAATTATAAATTATTTAAATTATAAATAATAAATAGAGTAAACTTGAAGTTAATAGAATAATATATATACCTCATAAAATTCATTAACATCTTCCGAAACTTTTTCCAATGTTCTGGAATAATTAGTTCGATACATCATATCTCCTAGTTTCTTTAATTTGCCTTCCTCATCACAAAATATTTCACATAATTCTTTGTTGTGTTCGATTTTGTATGTGTACATCTTTAATTAAAAAATTTATGAGTGAGTGAAATCATGTGAAAAAAAATGTATACACGTATATGTTTTAATAAATTTTAGTATTAAGTACCTTCATAGTAACATATAATTCAGTTGGAATAGGAAATCCTTCTCGAGCAATTCTAATTGAAGGTTCAAGAAGACGTTTCCAAGGAAGTTTACCGTGTCTGATAAAATAATATAAAATTAATAACATTATATTAATTGTATAGATGTAAAATTATCAAATGTAATATTGATACATACCGCTCATGAGCAAGTTTCAATCCACGGAGTTCACCACTATGTAGAAAAAAATATATATTTTTTACAATAGTTATATAATAGTTCTACATAATTAAGAATTCACATATTACAGTATTATATAATACTTACGGTACAGCAATAGAAAGGGGACCAACTTTTGCCTTTAGAGGTTCCTGCTTAAACATATCTTCATAAACAGCACGAGGAGCGACTTCACGAAAATCTATAACCTCGGCGAAACCGTTTGGTAACCTAACCAACATGAATCCACCTCTATTATGGTTATCACGTGAATATATAGTATTTCAGTCACGCGCCACACAAAAATTATAATAATATAAATAATAATAATAATAATAAGCATACCCTCCAATTCCAGCAGCAAATACATTAACTGTACCAACACATATGTGAGTTGTAATAGCAGCATCGACGGCATTTCCACCTTCCTTTAAAACTAAATATAAAATTTACGTGTAAATTTTCTTTTTAATTTTATAAATGTAAAATAATAATAAAAATAAATAATTACCTTCAACACCAAATCGAGAGCAATTAACGACTTCAGAAGCGACAGCGCCAGTTTGCGCAATAATTAAATTTGGATCAGCCCAATCAAAATCTCTTTCCACTTCTATAAAATTATTTATTAATCAAAAAAATTTAGTTAATATTATCAATATTGATATTATGTAAAAAAAAAAAACCATTTTTTTTTTATTAACAAACAAATAAACGAACCATCAATTATCAAAATCCAATTTAAAGAAAACCATAAAATAGCAGTGACACAAGCCGCACCAACGACAATTTTTAAAAGATTTTTCCATAATTTTGAAGGACGCTTTATACGACTTAATAAACCAATTTTATCGTCATCATCAGAGCCACTTGCGTGATAACGAGGTAATCCTTCTTCAATCGATTGGTAGGTGGTCATTCTCCCTCTTTTTTTTTAATTTATTCTTTTTTTAATTAATGACCTGAGATCCTACGATATGATGATGGATTTTTTTTATTATATTTAAAATATAAATTTCGAGGGGAGATAAAGAAAGAGCAGTGAAATTTTTTGCTTCCCTCATCAGTGGGCATTATATACAAAAAAAAAAAAACCTTATATAATATAAAATAACATAAAATGATCTAAAGTAAAATTAAAGCTAATATATTAAAATAATAACGATAAAAAAAAGATTTGAAACCAAATCAATCAATAATCAAAAAAATGTCCGAATAAAAAAGATACTAACTATATACATACATATCGCATCTAAATCATTTAAACTAATAGTCTAAAAAGTAATTATTTTTCAGACTTCTATGAATATCTGTTTTATCCAAAAATGGTATATCATTTTTGAACTCTATTGTTCTTATATATAAACCAATGTAAATACGTACGTACGTACGACCTCGGACAAAACGACGTCAAAAAAAAAAGAAAAACATCTTTAGGGTGCGCATAGAAATTTGAAATAACGTTGATCAAATACATACAATGTAAGATTATGCTAAATAGGAGGTACGAATGTACATAAATATGCAACAAATAATAAAACGATAAAAAAAACGCCGTTTCTAAATAATCGGAACAGTGTAACCTTTCATTGAAATGCCACGCAAATAAACAATCTTGGATATTTGGAGATCCCAGGACACAGACCAAGCGCAGTCGATAATAAGTAATGATATTAATGATATTAATTATAAATACCGAATATTTACATAAAGTACAAAACAAGTTTAATAATAATAATAATAATAATAATAATAATAATAATAATAATAATAATAATAATAATAATAATAATAATAATAATAATTAAAAACTGTAATAACGATAACGATAAGGTAGATTACTTGATGTTAATAATGTACCTACCGTACTACGTTAATCTAATAGAAGAAATTTCAGTACTGGTTCTTGCATTTCGGACATTCGGTGAATAAACATAATGAGGTGATTTACAGAAAAATCATGTTTGTGATTAGATTAAGATTAGATTATAAGATATCAATTCTACTATGTTTTACAACCATTTTTAGAACTTAAAAGATATTTTAATAGTTAGTTACCCGAGTCTACAAAATTAGTTAATTCACCCGAGTCTACAAAATTAGTCAATTGGCGTTAATTTAATAGTGATGCACGTGAATACAATTAATTAATAAATGTAATAAAGTATTTATTTCTCCCCCCAAATCCAGTTGTGAATATGTTGTGAGAAAAAAGCAAAAAAACACGTTTACTAGAGATAGCAATTTAATTGGATACATTTATTCGATAGGCTTCGATAGAAAAACAATATGAAACAGGTTCATTAATCTAATATCTAATAGAATGGTTAGTAGATAATCTACGTACGCATGTAAAAAAAAAAATCAGAAAATCAGATTCAGAAAAAAGTTTATCTAAAAATAAAATATAAGCGTAAGACCGGGGAATACCAATAAAAAAAAAAACTTAATATATATTTTAGCGTTAGATCTTGTTAATCTATAACTAAATCTAAGGCTAAGTTTTCGCTACGTATTAGATTATAATAATATTATTGTACAGTATATACGAAAATTTAAAATTTTTTTTAGTACGTACGCAGTAAATAGGTTCATAGAATTTTCGTTCGATGAATGTACTGTAAAGGTTAAACAAAAATAAAAATAAAGCAAATTCCCATTTACGTACTGTACGTACAGTATGTGCATACTTGTGTGCGTACGAACGTTTGACCAATCATTATAAGAGGAAAAATTTTGACATTTCTCCAAGTATTGCGTCATTTAAAAATCTTTGGAATGATTTTCTGTACATAACGATATCAGTACAACAGTGTATAACGATAATAATTAAAATGATTTGGTAATTAATCAAGGCTTTAACGTGCAACCCCGTATATATTTATAAAATATAAAATGCCGGTATTTTATTAACTTTGTCTAAATTCGTAAGTGTAGCACGCACAACATCACACTGGGGTTGACGTTAATTAAAGTTAAGGCAAAACACTATAATAAAAAAAATTGCCGATCTATCGTACCACATCTTTTTATTACTGTTAGTGCCAATGATATAAATTTAGATTTCCCACTTTCAAAAATTCATGATTTGATTTGCTAACGAATTATATACTGTATTAAAATTATATCGCTTTATATGATTTGTTTATTCTTATTTTGTTTATTATTATTATTATTATTATTATTACAATGGTTTATCAAGCAAATTTAACTATACCACTACAGTATTTATGATCCAGCCACGATCCGGATTTTTATGTACAAATATACATACAATAGTGCCTTTAACCCACATTGTACTCTACATTGTATTCTACATTGTACTCTACATTGTATTCTACATTGTATTCTACATTGTACTTTAATCGAAAAATAACTTATCATTCCAGAAACTGATATCTACTGCGTGCAGTCAAAGATGCAACCTTATAAGGCTTTTAAACCAATTTTAATCATTATATTATAAGTATGAGTATATTGCAGTATTGATTAAGGATATAAATTAATTTAATCAAAAAGTCCTAAAGTTGTAACGTTACATCCTGACCAAAGTTGGTGGATTTTTTTTAAATGAAATCTATAAATGATCTTTCGCCGGTTGTAATATTTTTTAAGGAATTCTTAAATTAAATGAGCTACTACTAATCAGGAACAAATTAAATACTAAATCGAGAATCCTTATCAATCAAAGCTTTTAACAAAGTTTTTAACAAAGCTTTTAAATTTTGAATACTGGAATAATGGAAAACCCGGGAGAAGAATCTATTTTTGTGAAACAATTTAATGCCCCAGATAACAATCTATAATCTTAAACTTCGTATGGAACATCAAGATATAGATATGCCCTTTTTGATTTATGGCGTGAAGGAAAAAATAAGGTTGATTACGTAACAGGTAACTTTAGAACCTTAGAACCTTATATACAATGATAAACTGAATATGGTCATTCTGGCGTAACATTCGTCGATAAAGTTTTTTTTTTTTGACCTTTACTAAATTAACCAACTAATTTACTTGCATTAATAATCTCTTTAGTGTTAGTCCGAAGTTTTTGATTGGATGTTAGATCTACTCTCATGCGATCATTGCATGATACATACGTACGCAAATCGTAACGGTAATACTGTAATAATATCAGATATCAGAATGTCGACATAAACATCTCTCTTGTATATATATATATATATATCAATATATTGAGATAGGGTATGTAATTGTAATACAGAAAACAGTGAATATTATCATCGCTATTTCTCACTAACTTTTTCATTTTTCTTTTCATCTTTTTCACTTACTTTTTCACCTTTTCTTTAAAAAAACACGCTTTTAACTTATAAAGAAACAAATTTCATTACCATCTACTGTAACTTATCCTTTAAAAAATTATCATCCTATAACACGATGATCTTTGTTTACAAGAAAAACCCGATTTTATGTATTAAAAAAAAATTAATAAAATTAAGCGCACATACATACGGACATCACGTACATCTTTTATTTCAGTATTTTAATTCATAAAGGATCTTCACCTTCGTATATCAATTCCTCGTGGAATCACATTTTAAATATATACTGCGTATCTGGTATCTACTATACATGCATAATATCCGATACCAGGTACACACATATACAGTATATGTCAATATTGATAATATATATACATATATATATGTCTTCCCCGATGTTCTCATAAAATGATATCCGTAAAAATGAACAAGGAAAATCAGCTTTTCATGCTTTCTATTAAATCATCCCAAATATCAACTATAATCATATGATGAATTCCGAAAACATATTTCTTTTTTTTTTTTGATCGATGTTTTTTTTTGTTTCATATTTATTAAAATCTTGGTAGCTTTTTTCTTTGTTTCTTTTAAACCCTCAAACGTATTTACAATGATAGAGATTTAATTTTCTTAACCTGTAATTTCTTTAATTAATATATTTATTAAGGGTTTTGAAAAAGAAACATTGAAAAAGTTTTTCAAGAAATTTGTTTACCATTATTAAGTCCTTTTGAATGATTATAAAATTACCGTGAATTATTTTGAATTATTTTGAATTATTTTGAATTATTTTGAATTATTTTGAATGATTGTACAGTATCAACTGTCATAATATATCAAACAAATTTTTTATCACGTATCATATCATTATTTACTATCAAAAATGGTATTCACACGCACACGCAATAGGTGGTCCAAGAAGGTGAGAAGCTGTGATGCAACGTTCATACAGTACATAGTACATACATAGTACTTTTTTTATGATAAATTACTAACTAAATTTACCAAATTTTAACATTAATAGTTGCAAAGGATCAGTGAATCACGAAATATTGAATTTTTCGTGTTAACTTCACTAATCCAATTCTTGGTCATGATCTTTTTTTATCTAAGATTATGGAATCGTTTTACCATCATCATACACTCGACTGATTCTGGTCCTGATGGATGTTTATCTTATAATTATATCTCTTCAAATAACTATCCTTCTTCATTTGTTCTTGAATTTCTCTTTCTCGTATTATATCAAGTTTTCCAATTTAATTTTGCTTTAAATGCGGTATGTTTTTAAATTTCTTTGGAGTTTTAACTTTATTCTGACTATACTGTAGTTCCTATAAAATAAACACCTGATACTTATTATGTTTGTTAAAATTATATTATATTATATACCTTTTTTATTATTTTTAATTTTTTTATTATTAGGTAGTCACTCAATATTGCGCTCAAGTTAGTATCATTGCTCTCATGAATGGAATAATATCTTTGTATGGATTCGTAGGTATCAACTTTTTCTATTGAGTGGTAAGTAATGAATTTTTTATTATTCATTCACTAATTCTTTTTTATTTGATTAGATACATTTTCTTGAGATTAGAAGAATAGTTAACGAAATAAACGTTTCTTGTGCTATAACTCCTGATCCACAATACTTGGCATATGATTTTCCTTTCATTTTAACCTCTTTAATATTTTCTATCACAATGGGTTATTTCGCTTATAAAGTTCGTCGCGATCTTTCCGGAAGAATTTATAAAAAGATCGGACTTGATATGACGATGCAAGGTATCTTATATATTACTGTATTTTAATTATTTACTTACTAGATACGTAAAATACATACGTAAAATACATACGTAAAATACATACGTAAAATACATACGTAAAATACATACGTAAAATACATACTTAAAAGACATTTTATCTAACCTTTATTTTTTTCTTTTTTAATAGTCTTCTTTAAAATAAGACTTATCTTTATGATGTTAATGAAACTTAACATGTTCTTTATGATAATCATGACTACCTTGACTACATTTTTATTCATATATATTTCGAATGAAATGTCATCAAGTGTTATCCTCAAAACTTTGATTATCATTCAATTTTTTGTTACTTTTATACAATTTGTTGCTCAATATGTCGTTCATCGCGCGGTAATTTTTTTAATGATTATAATCATATATTGATAATTACTTGTTATAATCATATCAATATACTACTATTTTGTTTATTTTATTGTATATTTATTCTATTATAGGTTCCAAAAGAAAGTTTCTCATTAATGAAACTATTTAATTTTCTTTGGTTTATCGTACTTATCGATTGGTTTATTTTCCTTATTGGATCGGTTATTCTTGCTACTAGTGGTGCTTGGATCCTTTTATACTTTAGTATGTTATTTTTTTTTATTTAACTATATATCAATTAATTTTATAACTAATTATATTTATTATTTCTTTATTTATCTTTGATAATTACAGCGGTTCCGTATTGTTATGTGGGAATTGTAAGCAAATATTTTTATGTTTGAATTTTCTCTTTAATATTTTTAGTATCTTTTTTTTTTTTTTTTATTAATTGATTTTTTTTTATTAGATAACATTTATATACGCATGGAGAACAACTGATACTTTCAACCAAGGATTACGTGAATATGGTAATTAAAAATTTCTTCCCTCATATTTCATATATATATATATGAAAAAAAAAAATTTTTTTAAAAAAAAAATATTTTAAATTCGAATATTGTAGTTGGCCTACGACTTAACAGAAACCATGAATTAATTATAAGAATTGAAGATGTAGAAGATTATCGACCACGTAGAGTTTCCAATAAAGTTGTTGATAATTATCAAACTGATGAAATTAAAAAAGCTGTTGATGATGAAATTAAAAAACCTGATGACGTTCTTATTTTTAAAAAAACCGATGATACTCCTTTTTAAAAAAAAAAAAGAAACTATTTTTTTTTACTTTTAAAGTGGTTCTTTTTTTTATTTATGTTAATCTTTAATTAATTTTATTTAAAAAAATTATTACTGTTTTTTTAACAGTATTATAATTGTCACAGATATTTTTTTTATTCTTAATTTTATATATAATAAAAAATATCCTGTACACTTACAAATCCGGCTATTTTTACTAAATATATCGTGTTCTTATCTTATTAATAATATAATAAGTTAGTGATCGGTGTATTTTTATAGCAATTTTATTGTTGTATTACTAGTTTTAATTGTGAATATGAAGGAGATGTGGCGGTTTATCCTTAAAAAAAAATAAAAACCGAATTTGGTTTTATCATAATGTATTACAGAATAAAAAAAAGTATAAATATAACATTAACGTCAATTTAAAGTCGACCATGTGAATACATATGACAATTGATGCATTTGTAACCAGTGTTGGACATGCCACATTTATGGACTATGTCAAACACGTGGGCCCGCTACTCCGAAATATTCCAGAAGAATAAGCCAAAATTAGGGCAAAGGTCCGAGATATCCCGAAAAATTCGGTAAAAGAAGATAAAAAAAAGAGCGATTTAATGTAAAACAAAACCACTATAACAATAACTAAATGCTATAAAAATATTTTTTACTTTAATATATATTTTAAAATAATTTTGCTATATGTAATACTCTATATATAATATAATAGATATATGTTAATAACGTTATTGATTGAATTTATAATGTAATTTTGTAAGAGAAAAAATAGTTATACATCCTATTACTACAAAAGCACCAAAGCCTTTCCAAATAGTAAAACATTGACCATTATCAAATTTACAAAAAAATATATGACTAAAACCAAATACCATAATAGCTCTAATAGAATTTAATAATCCTATAGTAACATTACCAAGATATTTTACTATCCAATAAGCTGAAAAATTATGAAAAAATGATGCAAAAATTAAAATTAAATATGATATAACGATTATAAATGTACTAGCATGTTCTGGTTTCTTTTCCATCTCTTCTATTACAAGTAATTTCCAATTTGGAATTGTATAAATTATAATATATATCATAACTAAACTTGAATTAATTGTTCCTATTAAAAAACATGCTTTTTCTGGTGATGGTGGAAGCTCATTAGGTACTATAATTGTCGTCAATAATTGATCAAGTATTACGTAAACGCATGCACTTCCAAATGTCGCGAGTGATGTTAATATTAAACCAAGTATTTTAGGTGATATATTAAGTGAATTAAGTATTGTAGGAACGTCGGTAGTTATGGAATTTTGTGAAGCTCCGAATGAACTAAGAAAAAGTCCGATACATACTCCAATAACACAAAATGATTGTACTCGAGAAAATTTTCTTCCAAGAAATAGAAATGAGAGAATAGCACACCAAATTACTATCGAGCTGTGAATTATTTGATACATCTTTATCAAAAAAAAAATTTTTTTTTATATTTTTAGCAGACTATTATTATTATTACTGAAAATACACGTATACTATACATATATCATTTACTTACACCGCTCCCAACGTAAAAAAGACCCAGCGTTAATGTAAAATTAGCCATAATATCCAATAAAGAGATACCAAGGATAAAGCAGTAATTTACAACTTCTCTTGGGCTTGATAACTCGCCATCATCATCTTCTTCAGGTAATAACTGATAATCTTTAAGAGCTTTCGTTACCTAATAAAACATTTGTAAAAAATGTTTATTTAAAACGAATGGAACAAAAATAAATATCAAACGTTAAACAAACATTAAAAAAAGTGGTAGATATTAACAATGTCAAATTCTGGGTCATTGGTTTTATCTATGATGGTCTCATGTACTTTTCTTTTTGCAAACCATGCGGGCATAAGTAATATTCCAACCAAGGCTGCACCAATATAATGTATAACATTCACCAAAAGACTATGAAATTGTGATTAGCATTAACGTAAAAAAAAAAAAGAAAATTGTGATAATGCAAATATGAAAGTAATACTTTGTAATCGAAAAAATATCGAACAAATAAATACCTTTTTTCATCTAAAAATAATCATAAATTCATATTTCAGCACATATAATTTCTCAAAAAAAATTTTTTTTTTCAGATTTCAGTAACGAAAAAAAAAAAACCATACTAGCAGCTCCTTGATAATATAAATATTGTATACTAAGTGTTTGATAAATTCCCGCCAAAAGATATATCCCTTGATATACTATAATAGCAAATATTGAAGGAGTTTTCCTAGACATTTCTTTGAATAACTTATAATAACAAATGCTCTGTTAAAATTGTCTAAAATTTGAAATTAAATACGTGCGCAATCTTAATTTAACTGAAGTGAAAGCCACACTAATCTGATTACAAAATCCTGTTTGTTCAAAAAAAAAAAAAAAAAAATTCACCACGTACGTATATTAATAAAGCTGCAATACTAGATATACACGTTTCTTATTATGTATCTTAGAATTAGTGGTTCTTTTTTTTTTCCGGTTTTTTTTTTTTTTTTTTTTGTCATAATGTATTACGATAATTGTTAGAATTGGATAATATCAATTTCCAAATTTCTAATTTTAACGCCTTGTGTTCACAAGCCATCTTTTCACGATTTCCTTCTTAGCATTTGATTTCAAAATCGAAAATTCGTTTTTCTTTACTAAACTTTTGAGACTTATGGTACGAAACTTTTATATTTTTTATAATGTTAATTTTTAATATTAATTATACAATACAAAAAAAAAGAAAAATTTATGCGAGCAAGCGATTCTTACATCAACAACGGACCATTAAAATAAAATCATTGCCTTTTTACAATTTTTCCATTCTTATTCCTTAAACCGTCTAGCGGGCAAATTTGTCTGCTGAAATGATTTTAAAAAGTTTTTTTTTTAAAAATTTCTCAAAATTTATTTAAGCCTTTCCCGCCTATTTATTGAGTAAAAATTATAGATATTTTTTTTTTATAAATATATTTAAATTTATTATTTTATCTTTAATTTTGACATATATATTACATTTTTAATAACCCTAATTTTTTAATTTTACTAATAAAATTTTATATTTTTTTTAAAAATAAAAAAATTTTAGTTATTAATAATGTTTCGTCAAATCTGAATCCGAAATTTAGGCGATACTAGTTCCACTCAGCATACAAATTTCTGTAATGTTACAAAATCCACAATTGCCTATATTTTAGTCCAAAATTGTTCGAAGCTACAATTGGTCATTTTCAAAATGTGATTCAATAGTGTGAAATTTTTTTGGTTTATAATTTTGTAATTTATATGTTAATTAGACAATTGCATACGTGGGGAACTTCGCTGCCCAGTTTCAACCCAACCGCTGTTAAACTTTCCAAAATCGATATGTATTAGTATTGAGATTATTCCCCTATAAAAAAAGTTTGTTCTGTTTTTGTTCCGTTTTTGTTTAGCTTTTGTCGGTATTGTTCAAAAAATGTTCAGAACGGAGTCATTATCGTAGTAAAGGCAGGACAAAAATCGTACATATTTTTATAATTGAAAAATTTAAAAATGTACAACTTTTGTTCTGGTTTTATACTATAATGACTCCATTCTGAACTTTTTTTGAACAATATCGACAAAAGCTGAACAAAAGCAGACAAACTTTTTTTATAGGGTTCGTTTTGATAACATTATAAGTACTTGTTATCATTTGTATTATTATTATAGACAATAACTGATTATCATCAACTGATATCGTAGGGTAGGGGGAGGTATACAAAATCTCAGGTCTAAATATATACATATAACCAATCAGAATAATTGAATTTCTCAGGAGGGAGGGAGGAAGGGGGGCTCTATAGTAAACTGATCTTAGCTAATATCTAGCTTGTCCCTTATCTAATACTTCTGACATAAGCACTGATCTTTTTTATATAATTACAATCACTTTCTAGTCATAATCACACTTTTACTCGCTTTTTTTCTTATACTTTTTTTTTTTTTTACTCCCTGTTTTTTTTTTAAAAAAAAAATTTTTTTTCAAAATATGGATTTCAACCAAGCCTTACAACTTCCAATACAAGATGATATAAATTGATTGCAAGAAGCTTTGTTTGTAATAAATACAAAAAAGAATATGACACAGTGGCTTAGAATGTTGAACCAATTCAATAAAAATTGTAAAAAAACTCAAACTATAGAACTCATTGATAGTGTTGAAAAGCTTGAAAATTACCTGTATAAATTTTTACTTAGTTGAAAAAAGATAATAAATCAGATTATAAAGTCAAGTCTATTCATAATTGCTATAGTGCTATTAATTATTATCTCAAAAAGTATAGTGTTTTTTAATCAGTAAAAATTTAAAACTGTTATAAATTTTCCTGTACTCTTTATATACTTAATAATAATAAAAAAATTTTATAAGACAAAAATTTAGATAATTCAAAGAAGTTTAATAGTTTATCTTTAAAAAAAATCAAGCAAATGCTTAAATATTTATATATAGTTAATAGTTTTAATAAATCACTATACTATTATGTCTTTTTTTAGTTATATTTACTATATAAACTGTAAAGTGGTAATGATTTTTAACTGTATTATAATAGTGGATGAAAACTTATATTGAACAAAGAAATAAAGTTTATATAATTATATTAAAGAAAATGACTACAGTATATATCACTACTGGTGATTCTAAAATTTGTTAGGGTTAGAGTTAGAAATTAGAGAATTATTTTTTTTATATAATATAATATAAAGCTAATATAAAATACCAATTTCAGTTCTTATAAAGTTTTTAGAGGTTTTGAATATTTTTACTTAGAGTACCTGATCCTATTTACTTAGTATATTTTTGAAATATAGTAGTAATAAATAGCAAAATTCTATCTTAAAAAGTTTTAATTAGCTAATAATACTATATTATATAGTATCTAATAATTTTTCTAACTCTTTTCTGCTAAAAAATTAAATAATAAATATCTTTATTTTTATAATATATATAATTTAATATATAATCTCTAAAATCTAAGTAGATTTGAGAATAAAAAATACAATTTTAAAATTATATATAAACTTAATAGTAAATTTAGTCATTTTAAGTTTATATAAACTCAAAACGACTTAGATTAGACTATAATAGCCTCAGCTATGATGAGCATTTTGCATTTGCGTCGTCATTTGAGTGACGAACGATTCGCACTTGCGTCATCAGAGATATATTAGTATTCGCTCTATCATTCGAGTGACGAATGATTCATGCTTGTGTCGTCATTCGAGTGATGATTGGTTCACAAGTTCGTCGTTACACTTAGGTACCCATGATCTATAAAAAATATGATGACAAATTTGTGTTCACATCGTCACACTTAGATACCTCACGA